TTTGACCATGTTTCAAGTTTCTTCTTGTCCAAGGAAGATTACCAACATTAAGAAAGAAACAAAAATAAAAAGATAAACCCCGCCCACCCACCCCACCTCAATTGTGATGATTTTATTTTATTCGTCGTGAGCTACGGGGTGAAGTTTAATTGAAAATCCGTATTTCCCTGCAAAATTTTACCATTTTGAACTTGTTTTTAGTTTCTTGTTGTGAAAAGAAAATTACGTATACATAAAAAAAGCAAAATATAAGTCCCGCCCATGCATAAAAATTCATCAGAGCTGAGATAGGGTGGGTGGGCGGGGCTTGCATTTTGCTTGGTTTTTCTCACTGTACGTCTTCTTTTCACAACTAAAGACTCAAAAACTTATCAAAATGTTGAATTTTGTAGGAAAATACGGACTTTGCAATTACGCTTCGCCCATCCATCCGACAAGGAATGAAAAATTCATAGGAACTAACACGATGGCGGGTGGGCGGGGCTTATATTTTGCCCTCATATTTAATATATTTCTCTACGAAAATTTACCATTTTGATCATGTTTCAAGTTTCTTGTTGTGGAAAGAAGATTATCAACATTAAGAAAGAAACAAACGTAAAAGGATAAGCCCCGCCCGCCCACCCCCCCTCAATTGTGATGATTTTATTTTATTCGTCGTAAGCTATGGGGTGAAGCTTAATTGCAAAATCCGTATTTCCCTGCAAAATTTTACCATTTTGAACTTGTTTTCAGTTTCTTCTTGTGAAAAGAAAATTACGTATACATAAAAAAAAGGAGAACATAAGCCCCGCCCATGCATAGAAAAATCATAAGGTGAGTGGGCGGGGCTTGGATTTTGCTTTGTTTTTCTCACTGTACGTCTTCTTTTCGCAACTAAGATTCAAAACCTTATGAAAATGTAAAATTTTGTACGGAAATATGGATTTTGCAGTTACCCTCCGCCCCTCGGTCTGACAAGGAATGAAAAATTGATCGGAATTTAGATGAGGGTGGGTGGGCGGGGCTTATATTTTGCCTTCATATTTAATATATTTCTCTACGAAACTTTACCAGTTTGACCATGTTTCAAGTATTTTCTTGTGGAAGGAAGATTACCAACATTAAGAAAGAAACAAAAGTCAAAGATTAGCCCCGCCCACCCACCCCATCTCAATTGTGATGAATTTATCTTATTCGTCGTGAGCCAGGGGGCGCAGCTTAATTGCAAATCGCAATTTTCCTACAAAATTTTACCCTTTTTAACTTGTTTTTAGTTTCTTGTGATGAAAAAAGAAACTACGTATACATAAAAAAGGCAAAATATAAACCCCGCCCATGCATAAAAAAAACATCAGAGCTGAGATAGGGCGGGTGGGCTGGGCTTGCATTTTGCTTTGTTTTTCTATCTGTACATCTTCTTTTCATAACTAAAAACTCAAAACCTTATCAAAATGTTACATTTTGTAGCAAAATATCGATTTTGCAGTTACGTTCCTCCCTTCGGTGTGACAAGAAATGAAAAATTCACCGGAATTGAGACGAGGGCGGGTGGGCGGGGCTTATATTTTGCCCTTTTTTCTTTTAAACACATCTCTCTAAGAAAATTTATCATTTTGACCATGTTTCAAGTTTCTTGTTATGGAAGCAAGATTGCCAACTTTAAAAAAGAAACAAAAATCGAAAGATAAGCCCCGCCCACCCACCCCACCTCTATTGTGATGATTATATTTTATTCGTCGTGAGCCAGGGGGCGGAGATTTACTGCAAAATCGGCATTTCCCTGCAAAATTTTACCATTTTGAACTTGTTTTCAGTTGTGAAAAGAAAATTACATATACATATATTTTGCCATCATATTTAATATATTTCTCTACGAAGATTTACCATTTTGGGCACCGCCTCAGCTTTTCGGATCCGGAAAATGCGCATTTCCGGGTGATATTTCACGAAAAGCGGGTAACTGATGGAAAAAATGTACTCTTCAATTTCAAGTTGGCTAAAATCCAGAATTTCAGGTCGATTTGAAAATTTTCATTTTTTTTTGCACATTGTCAAATTTTCGGATTTGGATCATTTCAGACCATCACGCTTATACCGACACCCAACTTCCTGAAAATTACCGTCTCTACTAATTCGAACCTCCTGAACAAGAATTCGGTCTCAGAAAATCACTCAGTAGCCTCCTGAATTTTCTGAAAATTTTCAGTAACTTAACCGTCTGAAAAATTACATCGTTCCCTATATTTTTCTCTGGAACGCAAACGGATAGAGAACCTTGGTTGAAAATTGACCATCGCGACTCAAAAATTTCAGGCAATCGATTGACATCAAGCTCGAATGGCTACGTCTTTCCGTTTCGGAGTTATGAGCTTCTAAACTCAAAAAAAAGTTTTTTGGATCCGGAAAATGCACGTTTCCGGGTAAAATTGCAGGAAAAACGGATAACTGATTGTAAAAATGTACTCTTGAATTGCCAGTTACCTAGAATATAGAATTTCAGGTCGATCTAAATTTTTCATTTTTCCTTTTTTTTTTCGTCAAATTTTCGGATTTGGATCATTTCAGGCTATCACGTTTATGCGGACACTCAAGGTCCTGAAAATTGCCCTCTCCATTAATTCGAACTTTCTGAATAAGAATTCAGGCTCAGAAAATCACTCAGGAGCCTCATGATTTTTTTGAAAATTTTCAGTTCCTTAATAGTCTGAAAAATGACACGATTCCATATGTCTTTCTAGGGAACGCAAACGAATAGAGAATCTTGGTTGAAAATTGACCAACGGGACTCAGAGATTTCAGGCAATCGATCGACATCAAGCTCGAATGGCTACGTCTTTTCGTTTCGGAGTAATAAACTTCTAAACTCAAAAAAAAAAAATCCGGATTCGAAAAATGCGCATTTCCGGGTGAAATTTCAGGAAAAACGGGTAACTGACGGAAAAAAAAGTGCTCTTCAATTTCAAGTTAGCTCGAATCCGCAATTTCAAGTCGACTTGAAAATTTTCATTTTTTAAAGTTTTTTGCACATCGTCAAATTTTCGGATTTGGATCATTTCAGGCTATCACGTTTATGCGGACACTCAAGGTCCTGAAAATTGCCGTCTCCACTAATTCGAACTTTCTGAAAAGGAATTCGGGTCCAGAAAATCACTCAGGAGCCTCATGATTTTTTTGAAAATTTTCAGTTACTTAATAGTCTAAAAAATGACACGATTCCATATATCTTTCTAGGGAACGCAAACGAATAGAGAATCTTGGTTGAAAATTGACCACCGGGACTCAGAAATTTCAGGCAATCGATTGACATCAAGCTCGCATGGCTGCGTCTTTTCGTTTCGGAGTAATCAACTTCTAAACTCAAAAAAAAAAATCCGGATTCGAAAAATGCGCATTTCCGGGTGAAATTTCAGGAAAAACGGGTAACTGACGGAAAAAATGTGCTCTTCAATTTCAAGTTAGCTCGAATTCGCAATTTCAAGTCGACTTGAAAATTTTCATTTTTTAAAGTTTTTTGCACATCGTCAAATTTCGGATTTGGATCATTTCAGGCTATCACGTTTATGCGGACACTCAAGGTCCTGAAAATTGCCGTCTCCATTAATTCGACCTTTCTGAATAAGAATTCAGGCTCAGAAAATCACTCAGGAGCCTCATGACTTTTTTTGAAAATTTTCAGTTACTTAATAGTCTGAAAAATGACACGATTCCATATGTCTTTCTAGGGAACGCAAACGAATAGAGAATCTTGGTTGAAAATTGACCAACGGGACTCAGAGATTTCAGGCAATCGATCGACATCAAACTCGAATGGCTACGTCTTTTCGTTTCGGAGTAATAAACTTCTAAACTCAAAAAAAAAATCCGGATTCGAAAAATGCGCATTTCCGGTTGAAATTTCAGGAAAAACGGGTAACTGACGGAAAAAATGTGCTCTTCAATTTCAAGTTAGCTCGAATCCGCAATTTCAAGTCGACTTGAAAATTTTCATTTTTTAAAGTTTTTGCACATCGTCAAATTTTCGGATTTGGATCATTTCAGGCTATCACGTTTATGCGGAAACTCAATGTCCTGAAAATTGCCGTCTCCATTAATTCGAACTTTCTGAATAAGAATTCAGGCTCAGAAAATCACTCGGGAGCCTCATGACTTTTTTTGAAAATTTTCAGTTACTTAATAGTCTGAAAAATGACACGATTCCATATGTCTTTCTAGGGAACGCAAACGAATAGAGAATCTTGGTTGAAAATTGACCACCGGGACTCAGAAATTTCAGACAATCGATCGACATCAAGCTCGAATGGCTACGTCTTTTCGTTTCGGAGTAATAAACTTCTAAACTCAAAAAAAAAATCCGGATTCGAAAAATGCGCATTTCCGGTTGAAATTTCAGGAAAAACGGATAACTGACGGAAAAAATGTGCTCTTCAATTGCAAGTTAGCTCCCTGAAAATTCCGTCTCTACTAATTCGAAGCTCCTGGATGAGAAGTCAGGCCCAGAAAGTGTCTCAAGAGCCTCAAGAATTTTTTTGAAATTTGTCAGTATGAAAATTCAGGACCTCGTCCGGATCGTTATCCTTGAGGAGCACACACCGCCCCCAGTCCTGCCAAGTTTGTTTTTTCGATGTCCATTTCGCTCTCGTTAAAACCCGATTTATTTCGGGAGTGACGGGACGTTTTCGTTTCCTCTGGCCATTTTAAGGTTCGGCTAATTGCGAATTGCCACAGCTCGCGAAAATCCGCATCGAGACGAACCGAATGGTCGTTTGGGCGTTGTGGGAGGTGTTAAATCGGCGGTACGTATGTTTTGCGGGGTGAATAATTGACGGGAATTTTTCGGGACGTGTGTGGGACGTCGGGCGATTGTTTGGAATTTCGTTCAGAGGTGAGGATGAATTCTGCTTGTTCATTTTAAACAAAGTCTGGCGCAACGTCGAAAAACTCGATAATTGCGAAACGCCGCCCCCGAACAAATTAATTGAAAAGCGTCTGCGACTTTAACACTTCACTTCCGGACTTACCTAACGTTTGATGGAAGATCTTGTCGAAGTTCACCTCGTTCTTCTTCTCCAGATACTTGTGCATCACGCTGCGAACGCTGGAACAAAGACGCACGAGTTAATTAAGTTTTGCCTTTCGACACTTTTGGCGTTTTCGATTGGTTAGTCTTCTGCCGGCAGTTCGAGGAAGCGGCTTCATTTCCGCGTAATCGCTTATTAAAAGCTAAACAAACGCAATATTCGCTGATTTGGCGCCGCATGAATTCGCCATAATTCGTTATTTTCCCGATTGCGGGGCTCCCTAGACAGTTTAATCCCCGGCCACATTTCATTCATAACCCCGACGACTGTTCTCGGCCGCGTTCTAATTTCCTACAAGAGGAACCAAAGCGCGACACAGCGGCTCGAATCCGGTAGACGTGCCGTACACCTTTCGTAACATTCGAGAGGTGTTCGAATGACGTCAACAATAGCATTGACTTACAAACGGCGGTGCTGTATTTCATTATAATCATCTTCGGTGGCGGGGCGTCTACGTCAAACAGATTAATAACAATTCCGACATACCTTTTTTAATATTCCCACTTCCAGATGGATCTGGTCGAGTCAAAGGTCGCCAAGGACGCGCACACGCGCCCACCACGCCGCAAACCCATTGCGAACAATATTTAAAAACTACAACTTAGTTTGTTTAGAACATTGTAGATTATTTACAATCTTGTGCTAAAAAATGTAATTCGCTGGTACGTAGGTGCTCAAAAGGTGCTCACTCCTCCGTGGTAAACACATTTTAACAAAGAATTAATTAATAGCAATAACAACATTCCTGAACACGTTGTGGATGCTGCGAAAGCAGTGGAAGTGGGTTTTTGCCGGAAAAATCTAAACGACATTACGTTAGGGAGTACGAGACTTTTTTATTTTAAACCGCATACTAGATTGATTTTTTTGACACAAAGTAATCTGTGTTTAATAAATTTATTACGGACATCAATCTGATCCAACAGGCACTCGCATAAATTCACGAATATTGACGATTTAATAATGACACAAGACGAAACCTCGGAATGAAATGTCTGTGTCCGTTTGAATGGCGAAATATCTTCCCAGTTATTTAATTATTTTTTGCGGTTGATGGATCCCGGTTGAATTTTTAATAGAAACCTCGAGATGTTTGAAAAAAAAATTAAATAACAATTTTTCGACTTCGCGATTTTCAATTTTTCAATTTCTCAATTTCTCTAGTTTCCGACAACTAAATTTTTCCATATTTTCGTTTTCGGACTCTTCAATTTGTTGGTAATTCAATTTCCCGATTTTTTTATTTTTCGCTTTCTCGATCTTCCGATATTTCAGTTTTACGATTTTAAAATTTTTCGATTCTTCAATTTTTCGACCTTAAAATTTTTCAATTTTTGGCATTCTTAAGTTTCTTTTTTTCAATTTCCCAATTTCTGCATTAACTAATTTTTTGATTTTTGGATTTTTCGTCTTTCCGATTTCTCGATTTTTCAACTTTTCGATTTCTCAATTCTTCGATTTCTGAATTCTCGATACAATTCAGTTTTGGGATTTTTCAATTATGGTACTCTTCCAATTTTTTAATATCTTAATTTCGATTTATTAATTTTTGGATATTGCGATTTCTCGACGTTTAAGTTCTTCAATTCTCAATTTTTCAAATTTTGAAATTTTAGAATTTTTTCAGTTTTCCGATTTTTCGGTTTTTAGACTTTTCATTTTTCAATTTTTCGATTTTTCGGGTTCTCGATGTCTCGAGTTTTTCGACTTGACGATTTTTTGATTCTTCAATTTTTCAAATTCTTCACTAATCAATTTTTTTCTATTTTTAGATTTTTCGTCTTTCCAATTTTGGGACTTTTCAATTTTTAAATTATTGGGGTTTTAAATTTTTCGATTTTATGATTTCCCGATTTATCAAGATTTCGGTGTTTCCATTTTTCAAATTTACATTTTATCAGTTTTTAAAGTCTAAATTTTTCAACTTTGAATTCTTCGATTTTTCTCCTTTTGGGCCATTTCGATTACTCAATTTTACGATTTTTCGACTTCTCGATTTCTCCACTTTTTTTTTCGATTTTGCAATCTTTCAATTTTTCAACTTCGACTTCTCGATTTATTGATGTTTCGATTTTGCGAAGTTTGAGTTTTTCAATTTCGACTTCTCGAAATCTCAGCTTTTCGATTTTCAAGATTTTCAAAATTTTAGGAATTTTCATTTTTTCGATTTCTCAATTTTTTGGATTTTTCAGTTCCCGAACATCGATGTTCCGATTTATTGAGATTTCGATGTTTCGATTTTTCAATATCTTATGTTATCAATTTCTTAAGTTGAAATTTATCAATTTATCGATTTCTCACAACATTCCAGTTTCGAAAATTTTCAAGTTCTCGATTTTTCAGTTTTTCAATTCTTAATTTTCTTTTTTTTCCGATTTCCCAATTTCTGCATTAATAAATTTTTTTATTTTTCGATTTTTCGTCTTTCCGATATCTCGATTTTTCAACTTTTCGATTTCTCAATTCTTCGATTTCCGAATTCTTGATACTTCAGTTTTGGCATTTTTCAATTTTGGTACTCTCCAATTTTTTGATACTTCAAATTTTGAAATTTTAGAATTTTTTCAGTTTTCCGATTTGTCGGTTTTTCGATTTTTCATTTTTTGAATTTTTCGATTTCCCGATTTATCGATTTTTCATTTTATCAGTTTTTGCGTTTAAATATTTTAATCTTGAATTTTTAGATTCCTCAATTTTTCGGGTTCTTGATGTCTCGATTGTCTTCGATTTCGCGAAGTTTCAGATTTTCAATTTCGATTTCTAGATTTTTTGACTTTGCGATTTATAGCTTTTTCCGTTTTTCCATTTCTTAATTTTCATTTTTTCAAATTCTTCATTAATCCATTTTTTATTTTTAAATTTTTCGTGTTTCCGATTCCCCGATTACGATTTTTTCAAGTTTTCGGTGTTCAAATTTTGGGACTTTTCAATTTTGGTCCTTTTCAAGATCCTGCGATTTTTAAAATTTCAGATTTTCCAATTTTCCCATTTTTTCGATTTTTTTATGTTTTGATTTATCGAATTTTCAATTTTTAAATTCTTGGGGTTTTAAATTTTCCAATTTTTTGATTTCCCGATTTATCAAGACTTCGGTGTTTCCATTTTTCAAATTTACATTTTATCAGTTTTTAAAGTCCAAATTTTTCAACTTTGAATTCTTCGATTTTTCTCCTTTTGGGCCATTTCGATTACTCAATTTTACGATTTTTCGACTTCTCGATTTCTCCATTTTTTTTTTCGATTTTGCAATCTTTCAATTTTTCAACTTCGACTTCTCGATTTATTGATGTTTCGATTTTGCGAAGTTTGAGTTTTTCAATTTCGATTTCTCGAAATCTCAGCTTTTCGATTTTCAAGATTTTCAAAATTTTAGGAATGTTCATTTTTTCGATTTCTCAATTTTTTGGATTTTTCAGTTCCCGAACATCGATGTTCCGATTTATTGAGATTTCGATGTTTCGATTTTTCAATTTTTTATGTTATCAATTGCTTAAGTTGAAATTTATCAACTTATCGATTTCTCACAACATTCCAGTTTCGAAAATTTTCAAGTTCTCGATTTTTCAGTTTTTCTTTTGAAATTTTACATTTTTCCACTTTTCGATTACACGATTTTTTAATGCTTCGATTTCGCGACTTCAAAGATTTTAATATTTATTCCAATTTTTCGATTTCTGGAAATCTCGGTTTTTCGATATTCAAAATTTTCGTTTTTTCGATTTCTCCATATTTCAAGTTTTCGACTTCTCAATTCTTCAACTTTTTAATTTTTGATTATTTGATGTTTCGATTTCTCGAATTTTGAAATTTTAGCTTTTTCAATTTCTGGGCTTTTAAATTTTTCGATTATTCAGTTTTTCGATTTTTCATTCTTCAATTTTTGGATTTATCTATTTATCGAGATTTCGATATCAATTTTTCAATTCTGAATTTCTCGATTTCTCCGATTATCAATTTCACGATTCTCCAGTTTTTTCGATTTTCCAATTTTTCGACATTTCGGTTTTGGGATTTTTCAATTTCTTGATTTTCCAGTTTTTCAATTCAATTTTTATTTTTTAAATAATCCATTTTTCGATTTCTGATGTTTCGATTTACCGAGTTTTCATTTTATCACTTTTTTAAGTTCAAATTTTTAAATTTTTCGATTCTCTAATTTTTCAATTTTATGTTATTTTAAAATTTTACGATTTTTTTAATTGTAGATTTTCCAGTTTCTTAATTTTTCGATTTTTTGATGTTTTGATTTCACAATTTTTCATTTTATCGGTTATTTAAGTTTAAATTTTTCAATTTTGAGTTCCTCAATTTTTTTATTATGAATCATGTCGATTCCTCAATTTTTTGATTTTCGACTTCTCGATATTTCAATGTTTCCATTTCGATTTCTTGGTTTTTCAACTTTGGGATTTTTCTTTTCTCCAATTCTTCGACATTTCAATTTTGGTATTTTCAATTTCTCCGTTTTTCAGTTTTTCAATTCTTCGATTTTTTTTATTTTACATTTTTACATTTTTTCATTTTTCGATTTTACGACTTTTTGATGCTTCGATTTCGCGACTCTAAATTTTTTAATATGTATTTTCAATTTTTCGATTTTACAAATTTTCGATTCTTCGACATCTCGACAAATTTTATTTCAAAATTTTACGAATTTTCCTTTTTCGATTTCTTAAATTTTCAACTGTTCAATTTTGGCAATTTTTCAATTTCTGAATTTTTCAAATTTTCGATATTTTCATTTTTCGAATTATTAAATTTGAGATTTCTTAACGCTTCGATTGCTCGATCTCTCAATTTTTTGGATATTTCGATTTCTCGTTTTTTCAGTTTTTTCAAATTTAAATTTTTCGATTTCATGGTTTATCCAGATTTCGATGTTTCAATGTTTTCATTTCGATTTCTCGGTATCTCAGTTTTTCGACTTTTGGATTTTTCAACAGTTCAATTTTGGCAAATTTTCAGTTTCGGGATTTTTCAAATTTTCGGGATTTTTCAAATTTTCGATTTTTTGACG